TTCCCTTTCAGCCCTTCTTTGCTAGTCCTTTTCGAACAGCATATGACAATCATCAGGACTAAAACAACCAACAGTGCAGAGCCCCCAATTGCCACAGCAGTAATATAACCATGGCCAAGTTTTTTTATGAGGGTAGCATGGTGATTTTTCTGGACTGTTGGTGAGGGTGGCAAGTAAGTAGGGGAAGCAGAAGGTGAAGAGGAGGTCTTGGAACAATTTTTGAGAGGTGCCCCACATAACTGAGGATTCCCAGTATATGAAGAATCCGGGTAACCTTTTAGGGAATATGGAATTGATCCATTGAAGTTGTTATAGCTCAAATTCAAAAGCTTAAGCTTTGGGAGGTTCAGATCAGGTATAGCTCCAGAGAGGGAATTATTTTGGAGGCTCAATGCGGTGAGGCGTGTCAGATTCTGAACTGTTGTTGGAATGTCTCCAGAAAAGGAGTTAAAGGAGAAGTCTAACAAAATGAAGTTGTGGGACAGAGAGGCAGGAAACACACCAGAGAAGTTATTGTGTTGGAGGTAAAGATACTCCAAAGAAGGAATGGATAGGATATCAGAAGGAAGACTTCCATAGAGGAAATTGGAGTGAAGGCTCAGGACTCTAAGAGCAGCAAGCTTGCCTATACTGTTGGCTGGGATGGAGCCAAAGAGTCCAACAGCTGGAAGATGGATAGCAGTGACACTAGTTTTGTTTAGATTGCAAGTGATTCCTACCCAAGAGGCACAAACTGGTGCAGCAGCATTCCAGTTGAGCTTTTGGGTATGGCCGACAGCGGCAGCAAAGTTAAGGAGGGCTTGTCTGTCAGAATTCAGGTCAGCAATAACCGAGGAAGAGAAATGCCGGATAAGGAAAAGGAAGATAAGTGCAGCAATGGAGAACTGAAGCTTCATGGTTATCTGCTCAGAATGAAAATGATTCAATTATGAGAGTCCTTGTTCTTCTCCTGGTACAATAAGAAAAAACCAGAACACAAAGTTAGTTAATCATGCACGTGGCATACAGATAGCAGAGAAGATTTGACTACCTTTCAAAGGAAAATGCTGTCATAATGTTCTGTTCAGAAGAGTGGCAAAGAACCACTCAAGTATGAGTTGGTGAAATTCCAGAGAATTGATCATGCTATCTTTGAAAAGTCTAGTGCTAGAGAGGGCATTTTAAAGTTCTATATTCATATTGTGTATGATAAATTTCTCTTAGGTTCATAGATGATAAAGAAGATAAAATACAACCCAATAGGAAAGTAATAAATAAATAAAAACCTACTCGGCATGGCATGTAAAGATCACATAACTTGAGACAGATTCCATTATGCACAAAGAAACATGCTACCCTGTCCTGATTCTTATGATTACCTAAAGAGAATAAATTCATCAACACTGTTTCTCTTATTGGTTGAGAAAATTACTATGGCACCCAAATATGAATTTACCGTGTGTGCGTATTGACTTTACCCACTAGAAAAGAACATAAATAACAGCCAAACATGCTTTACCCACTATGCAAAACAAAAATCTGATTGTGAAAAGTTCTCCCCATTTTTAGATGGATTAATCATGGCATTTCTATCCTTAACACTGAAGTTTTGTACTTACTGTGCAGAGTTCGCAGTGACAGAATCGATACATGGGTTTAATTACTTGGAATTTCATTGATGAAAAATAAAGGAAAAAAAGAAAAGGTTTCCCTACCAACTTTTTTTAAATTGGAAAAGCAAAGCGCACTTTCTTTAGCGAAAAGAAAAAGAAAAAAAGAAAAGCCAACTGAAGAAAAAGGAGAGGTTAGTCACCAAAAATTAAGATGCACTTTCTCCCTCAACATAAACAGAGCACTTAAAAGTTTGAAAACTAGTGGAAAAAGTAATCAATATACAAAGCAAAGTGGTTGCAAAGAAAGAATCCAAGAAGAAGATAGCCTTCATAAAGAAAAAGCAAAAGTTCAATTCTCTGTTCTGAAAAAAGGGTGAAGGTATTGTATTGCATTCTGCAGAATTTCACATGATTTAGTTGCTATTTTGGTAGGTAGCATGCTTGAGAACCAAAATAGATGAAAATAAGACAACATGGAAGCCAATGGGAAAGAACTAAGACACAAAAGTAAGCCTTTAAATATGTCAATAAAACTATGGAAAAGAAATTGCAAAGAGTAGAGTGAGAAAGCACAAACAAGTACCTGATAGATTTTACATGTATTTATACATGCATGCAGTTCAAGCCTATAGTTGTTGCAGATCTGTCAAACCAGTTTTATAATCATATTCATAAACAAAGATGCAAATGTATTGATTCATAACTAAAAACTCTGGAAACCAACTTCAGACTAAAACCTCAGATATGCATAATCCACTTCAAACTCCGGAATTTCGTTTGTCCAGAACATTCACTGCTTAAGAGTCTGCCATGCTGCAGAACCTTATAGGACTGTTAAAGAGCATAAATTTGAATAAAACGGGAACATTTTTTTTTATTGCCTAGAGTGTAATGCCATATTTGATTTAGAAACGGAAGTTTCTCATAAGTTTACTGATTGCATTGCAGGAGTTATGAGCCAAAAAAGAAAAATGAAAAAGAAGAGTCTGGTATATGAAGTCTAAAAGGAATAATTAATAAAATTATTAAATAGGGGACGATTCATTCTTCAACAGTAACGTCGGCAATTATAAAGGAATTGAAATCAGAGCATTTCACAACCAAAAAAGCTAATACTGCATTAATGGTGTTTCGTGTTAAAGATTAAAGAAAGGAAAAAAATAGTGCATGCGGTAGAGAGCAAAATGCTTTCATGTCTTTGTGCTGCCTCTGATGTTTTTTGTTTTTTTTACCTGCTAATGATGAATTGAATTCACATATCAAAATGTTGTTATGCATTATCATCTCTTGTTTTGACTTCAAACCCAACATCAGAACTATAATTATGTTATGTTAGGTTAGGTCAGGTTAGGTCATACCTAAAGAAAATTCTTCAACTCACAAGTCACATGGTAGGGTATGGGTATCCTTGATAAAGTGTAATTTCTGAACCTTTTGTTTTTCTGATAGGAAATATGGATATAAATGACAAACCAGGATTCCCGGTTCGAGTCCCGGGCAACCCATTTGAAACTGACATTGATGTCACTGGGAAGACTATCCTTATTATGGTAGTTGGCTGTTGGCATGTATTGTCTCATGGGCACCATTTGAATTATCATCAGAAATCTCCAATGTTGATGGGAGATGAAGACTCTCGCATGGCGCATACACGAGTGAGTGACTCTCGATCGTCAAAACTGATTGAGATGAGACAATGCTGCAATCTGATTGACTCGTTTGTGCGACTTTAGAACCTGGGTTAAACAGAACCCTAGTTAAACAACATCTCATACTAGTCTTTGCAGCTTCATGGAATAAGTTTAAAGATCATCAGTAGGAGACTTAAGGACAGAAGCAAGGTTGCTAACCTATAATGATGAAGAGCCACCTTATAAACGTAAAATTAAAGAGCCATTAAAACACCAGCCTCAAATGGAAGCACAGGGCCTTTATCCTCAAATCGCATCTTAAAACAGTCATTAAAACACTACAGAGGCACAGTTGCTATAATACCCAAGAACAGCCTCCATTAGAAGAAAAATAGTAAGGTAAGCATGCTTCAGGAATTGCTGGTAACATCGTACTATGGACAATTTGATGTCCCAAAGAAGAAAAATAGTAATATTACTTCACAGAAATAGGTAGTTTGTAAACAGGATGAACATTATAAATCAGAGAGACTAGGAATCATGCCATGCTTTTGCTTCAGCAGTTAGTCTGTAATTTACTTTTATTTGCCCCTGTGGGGCCATCTTAACTTTGAAATTTCCAAAGTTGGCTGCTTGAGGTACAAGGTAATTTAAACCTGTAAAACTCAACTCTGCAAAACAATGCAAGGTGTAACCTACACCAACAATCCGAGATGATGGCCAAAGACTTGCGCATTATTTACAAACTCCTGTATCAAAACAAAACAGAAGAGAATGGAAGGGGCAGGAACAAAATCTAAAGAAAACAATCACTGTGATCCATCCTTTTCAAGCTTCTCAATTTCTTCGCGGTGCTTTCTTTCTGCCTCCTGAAGTTCTCTTTCAGCATCCTCCTCTTCTTCAATCTGATCAAGACTATCAAACTCCTTGGTTGCAGCCATTGCTTTCACAACCGGATCTCTCAGCTCAGCTATCAGTCCACCACCAACTTTGTACTCTTCTTCATCACCAATCAGAAATAAGCGCTGGTCAGGCCCTGACGCCATTGGAATGTCAACTGCCAGTAGCTTCATATCATACTGCATAAGAAGATGGCACCCAAATGCTTCAATAAGAAAAACTTGACCGTCCAAGTAACCCCCAAGTCATAAAATAAACAATATACAGGTTTTCAACAGTCCATCTCCTAACTGACTAATGTAAAGCATCAATATGGGGCAGAGCATGCACTCAATCTGCTTCGCTTGAGAGGCACACACGCTGTGGAGGAAACTTTTACCAGAAGAATCGCAGTGGCAGATACAAATACTGCAGTATACGTTTACCAATACAACATTCTTGTGATGTACATTTCTCTACACTATCAACCAGGGCATGAAACTAGTTTAGTTTCAACTTCCATTTGATGCCACAAGAGGGGATCAACGAAGAACATTGAAATGAAAACTAATGCTTATGAAGAGAAAAACTTAGAAGCAAACAGCATAGCACAAACACAAACCTGGCCTTTTTTCTTCTTTACTTCGACACTGACCAGACCCTTTCTCTCAGAACCTCGTACTGGGAAAATGAGGAAACACCGCTTGCTCCTAAAAGTTGGCTTGAACTTCTTTAGTGTAACCCCACCTCCAGACATGACATAGGCTCTTAGGTCTGATCCTGAGAGAGGGGCACCCATAACCTCAAGAATACCAGCTGAAGTGTTAAGCCTCCTCATGGCAATTCTATAAACTTTATCAGGATTGATTGTGAATCTTGAGCGGATATGAAGGCCCTAAGAGTAGCGAAAAAGCACATAAATGTCAAATGCTGATCTATAATGTAAACCCAAACAACAGGAAATCCATATGTACTGGATAAGAAAATATCAAGCTTTGAGTTCCTAGTTCCTACCATCCTACAGAAGAAGACTTCAACTTGTGATCATAAATAGACTCCAACAATAATAACAAATGAACCCACTGAAGGTGTCACTCAGTCACTGCATTGAGCCACCTATAAGCCTACTATAACATTATAACTGATTAAATAAGTTGGGCATTCATTTTAAATCTACCGCTAGAGCTTGTTGGACTATAGTTGCAAATCACTATTGACAAAGCACAATGTACGTTTTCAGCTGCTCTACGTTATTGCACGATATTTCGAGTAACTTACAGCGAAGGCGACAATGGCAGAAGAAAGGGCGAGAAAGCCATACTTGGCCATCCCTTCAGAGAGTCCAACGAAGGTGCTAGCAATCCCAAACATGACCCTCCATAGCAAAGCACACACCACCAGTGCTCCAACGCCCAAGAGCACCAGATTGTTCCTCTTCCAGAACGCCTCAATCTGCAACCCTAGGGCCTCCTGGTACCGCGAGAAAGCCGAGGCGGCGGCGGAGAGCGGCTTATCGAACACCTTCTTCGCATTGACTTTGCTGAAATTCGGTGGCTTGAAGGAGAAGAACCTCAGGCCAAGGCCTAGGCCCAGCCCCGGCCCGGAGGAGCTGCCACCGCCGCCGCCGATTGGTTTTGGGTGAGAGGGGAATTGGGGAAGAGGCCCATTGTTGGAGTGGTAGGTCCTCCGGGAGCCGGTGAGTGGGGACGAGGGTTTTGAGATTTGATTGTGGTGAAATCTGAGCAGACCTTGGATGATTCGAGACGAGGGTTTTGACATTGAATTTTGTTTTAGGGATTTGATTTCGGATTTTGAAATGAACCAGCTTTCACCAAATGCACAAAATTTACTCGGATCAATAACCAAAATCAAAGCTTTCTCTCACCTGCCCACATTTCCCACCATTAAAGTATAAGAGTAATTTTCTTCGCTCTCTTCACTCAAAACTCATAAGCACGCGGTCGTTTTTGGTAAACCGCCATGGATTCTTTCTGTTCTGAACCAGAGGACCTTTGGGTTTACTTCCTTCCTTCCTTCACCTGACTGATTCTAGTCAATCAACAAACCGTTGTATACAACGGAAAATGAAAACCTTGCAAAAATGACTTTGCTGAAGTGTGAGGCTTTTTGGGCCGAAAAATAGAAAGAGTG